AAAAAAAAAAAAAAAAAAAAAAAGTATTGTTATCTCAAAAAAAGAGTTTCTTTATGAGTGTTTCGACGCTCTAACACGTTCAAACTATCATTCCGATGACATGTAACATTAATATACATGCGTTATCAAGTAATTCGATCGAAAAAACCATAAAGAAATCGCATTTGTGTCGAAAAACAACTATAACGAATGTGCATTCGTTGTGGTTGTTTTTCGACAAAATCCACCTTAAACGATCGTGCATTCGTTATATAATACATTATAAAAATATTAAACTCGTTATAGGTCTACTTTTAGTCATTTTTAGTTTAAAATAACGAATAAACAACGATTCTATATTATCTATCCGTTTTTCAAAAACAAAAGAAAAACAAGTATTGGTGTCGTGACCTGAAAAGAAAAACAAGTAATGGGGTCGGGCCCACTCTATCAATTTCCAAAAGCAAAAAAGTATCATTATTTCATGAAAAAAAAATAAAAATAAAAATAAAACGCCAGCGACAGGCATAGTGTAGCGCCCGTGACAGGCCGTCGCGAGCTTCTGGAGCTCGATATTTGGTGTCGCGACCGCGACGCCTATCCCGCCCGCGTAGTCCGCCTACGTCGCGCCCGCGACATCCTGGACAACTTTCTATCCAAAAAAATTCCAGAGTGTCGCGCCCGCGATGATTTTGGAAGCTCTCATGCCCGACCGATCTGTAGCTTCAGTGTCGCGCCCGTGATAGTAATTGCGCCCGCGATAGCTATAACTAAGGGGAATGGAAATTTGGTCATTCTTGGGTTCAGTGATCACAATTCTATTACTTGTGAGGTACTATCGAACTTTACGAGCTTCAGGACCGCATCTTCAAGCTCCAAGAAAGATATGTCGTCGCGAACATAAATAGGATTGACATTCTTTTCATCTTCATTCACATATTTCCACGTCCAAGTATCATCCGTATTATTTTTAAACTCAACATAATGGCATACTTGTATCCACATCAAAAATCAATATCTACAAGAAAAATGTATATGTTACTTAGACAAGATAATTGTGTAAACACATGTTACTAAAAAAACATGAAAACCAAAATGAAACCAAAATGCATATCAAAGTATAATAACGAAACTACATTAGGATATGTCATAACGAAACTATATTGGATATGTCAAAACGAAAATACATTCGTTATGTCATAACGAAACTACATTAGGATATGTCATAATTAAAAACAATCGGATATGTCATAACGAAATTACATTCGTTATGAAATAAACATCAAATAATGGATATACATTCGCTATGAAATAATTAGATAACAAATATACATTCATTATGACATTTTCTTCAGATACCGAATGTACATTCGTTATGAACCTACATAACGACTGTACATTCGTAATGTACTTATAAATAAAATAAAAAACCTCAATGCCACAAAAAAATGATAAATATGAAACCATCATGTTTATCAATCATAAAATATGAACCATAATTCTTTATCTCTAAAATAACAACAAACCCTAGCATGCTTTAATTGTTGATCTTCCACCATCACCATAGTCATTTAGCATGTAAGGATATTTTGAGTATTTCAATTAATTATTTAACTTTAATTAATGAATAGGTTACTTAAAGAAAGAAAATGTTGATAGAGTCATTTAAATAAATAGGGCCTTTGACTATCCCATTTAAATAAACNAAAAGTGAAAGACCAGTGTATTATAGTGGGAATTGGAGCCATGCATGTAGGTCAAGGTGGTTGTTTTTGTGATTGCGTCTGTAAATGAATGGTGAAGAAAGCTTCAAGGGAATCTTCACTATTTTTCATTGTTAGCTAATGTATAGAAATTTCTCTACAATATAATCTGTAATTCATCTTCTATTCATTTGGGTTCTCTCATATTTGAATTTCTGTATGTTGTTCAATCTGTAATTATGTTGCATGATTGTGATTCTTAATGTGGTGGAAACCTTGGTCTGGATTTAGTCTTAGTCTCTTGATGTTGGCCCCTTAAATATCAAATTTTAGCTTAAAGTAGGAACTGTCTGTTTATGCAATCTTTCTACTGGAATGGGCATTACGTTGTGCTTTCTTTGATATTCTGCATAAGTAGCTTGCCCTTTTCTTTGGCATTCTGCAAACAATTTTTGTTAAGGAGCATGTCCTTCGTGATATCTGTGTTATGCAGTAGAATTTGGCTTAAAAGTTACAAAAAACTGATGAGTACAAACATTTTAGAAAGAAAGAGACATGCACTTTTTGGTGTGTTTCATGCTCTGCTAAATTCTAAATTTTTAAAATCGTAAAGATGTTAGGACCTTTAAAGTTGGGTGTGTGAAGGTTAACTGCAGCTTATGATTTCGTCATAATTATAGGCTTCATCATGATTCATGATCATAAAATTTTTTCACAGTTGCGATCATTCTCAAAATGATAGAATTTGCTGAATCTGCATAAGCTAATACTATACTACTGTGTTATCAAATGGCGGTATGGTGACGGATTTCAGCCAAACCGTCATTCTAAATTTGTTAAAGATGCCTGTTATGGCAGCTGCTAAGGTGGCTGCTATGGCAGTATTTTGGCCTGCTGCCATTTTCTGCTATCCGCCATTGATCCTATATTATTGGGGGCAAGATATGCTTTTCTTATGAATCAAAATTGGAAATTGTCAGTGTTGTACTTGCAAAGGATAATACTCTAATATCCATGTATGGTTGGACAAATGTGTTTGCTTTCTTGCAGCTTTAAGTATCGAGCGTAGTGTCCTGTTGTTAGTTTTTTCTTTTGTTGATTATGTTACTAACGACGAGTGTATATAGTCTATAAGAGATTTTAATTGTTTGATTAGATTGACTAAATTAAGTACTTGTACGCCTTTATTTGGTGTTTATAGTCAGGATTAGACATTAAGTCTTCATAATATGAAGTTGAAAGTTGAGCATATATCTGCAACATTCAACTCCTTTAAGATGTGTTAATGAAAATTTGAATCTCCATTGTGATATGATGTGATGTGATCATGAAATTTGATTCTACATTGTGTGCATAGAACAAATTTCACTGGTGGACAAAGGAAATTTGTGAGGGTCAAAGGTACTTAGTGGTAAACTTTGTGTAACATGATAACGAAAATACGTTTCTCCCCGTCTTACTAACAAGGTTAAATAAATAGATTGAATAAATTTTCCTGTTCATTATGAATTGCACGCTTGACATTTAATCAAACTACCCAATGCCCTTGAATATATAGCATAACCCTTTGTAGTGGTAAGTTCGATCCTACCCCTTGGGCGACAGTAAAAATGCCTCCAGTCTCTAGAAATTTTGTAATTGACGGATTGATTATATACATAGCTTTCTGTGGCTTAGGGACAATAGAAGCGTATAACTTTCGATTGCGCAACGACACAACATGGACTATAATGAGGTTTGATTTGTATAATTGAGCCCACATTCTGAAGAACTAGATTAAAAGGGATTGCAGTTTATGCATCACAAGTTTCACAATACTTTGATAACCTTTTTTTTTTATATATGACTTCTGAGTTCTTTTATTGCAGTTAAATGTCCTGTAAAATGGTGTTATGAGTTTGCTAATAAAGCATTAGGATTATATGAAAATACAGATGAGGAACATTGTAGCATATTCTTTATCTGATTTAATGATTGAATATTGTACTTCTACTTGTCCATAGGTGATTAATTGTTCATGCAGGCGGAGAAAACGGTTTTTACATTGGTCTCCGCTTAGACAAATTTCTGTTATGATTTTATAGAATTACAACGATACTGCTTCTGAGGTTGAGAGGTAGTTGTAAGAAAAACCACAGAGAAGTTTACATTCTAAATCCTGGAAATTGTTCAATCTCTTCTTGCATTATTATCTGAGAAGAATTTTCAGAAAACCCCTTCCCAATTGTTAAAAAATACCTGTTGCCATAATATGATTAAGATATATAAAATGGAACTTTGATAGGTTTTCTAATGTTGCTTGCATGGACATTTTTTTTGGACTTGCCAATTTCTCATTGAATTTGGTTCTAACAGACTTCTAGGGTATTTAAGTGGAATTAGCCCTTGATTCTATTTTGAACTGGTCATTGGGATGAACAAGTACTATATACGATTCGATTTGATTTGTTATTATGATTTTTTATTTTTTTTTTATTTTTTTTTTCCGTGTGTGTAATCAAAGTTGATTTTGCAGTGTCTTCCAAGAATAATTATTGTGGCAATCACTGAATTCTTTACTTGAGATTCAGTAATGAATGCAATGCAATTCGAAGCGTGATATATCATAATAATTACTATGGCAGTATAGTCGTGGGCACAAGTTTCTTGTGCTGAGAAGTTCAGAAATAATTTCATCAAGACTTCGAAGCTCAAAAGCATCATGAGAAATGACTAATCAAGGAATAAGCCTCGATACTACGGTAGACTGTGCTGGAACTTGACTCATATCAGATGCTCTTTCCACACACACACATACATATATAGAAGGAATCATATGAGAATGGTAGATAGTGAAAGAAATAAGAATGATTTTGGACTATTGGATTCAACATATCAATGATCGTGATTTAGTCAAATATTAAATATGGCAGTTAAACATGCGGTGACAGTTTTGTAAATAAGTATGCAATTCGTGATCAAATATAGATATTTGACCACAAATTAAGGGTAAATTGGACATTTGATACCAACCCACTAACATGTGGATCCCACCACCCACCCAACACTAATCCTAATATCCACCTACCCATCCATCAATATCTTTCACCCACAAACACACACACACACACACACACACACACACACATATACATACTTCACAGATCATCGTCAGACAAGCCATTCACAGTCCATCCTCGGACCAGCAGTGCGCCACCACCTAATCCTCGTCACCAAAGACCATCGCCCGACCACCCAGCCACCGATCTCTGTCGAACAGCTGCCATACCACCAAGCGTACCGTCTGCCAGTCGTGCTGACAAGCCACGTTGAGGTCTCAGCTCGTCGTTGCCATCAGCCGGACATTGCTGACTACCCGACCCAGACGCCGACGTCCACGCCTAGCGCGAGATAGTCATCCTCCGGGATGTATTTTTGGAAAACAACCTCGCCGTATATGGAGTCAGAGAGTGAATATGTGTGGTACGGCAGAACATCGTTATTGTACTCGGCAGCGCCTGGCTTTGAGATGAGTGAATTTAGGCCGGAGTTGTTGCTAATGAAAGCTGACATGGAGATGACCTCGTTGGGGTAAGAGAAGAGGGCGGGGAAGCTGGCCGTGCGAGTGTCAATGCTGGGATCTGAAGACGGCGACGACGGTGGTGGCTGGAAGAGACGGCCAGTACGGGGATGGTGGTGGAAATCTATTTGCAGATTTTGTAAATCAAATTGGGTTATGTTATTGAGAATTAGACAAACATAGAGGACTTATTTGCAATTCAAAATTTAATATATTTGCACATGTCATGTGTATAGTTGATCAGTATTTGCACTATAATAATACGGAAAAATGCTAAGTATTACATGATGATAAGCATATTAAAATTTTTGTCAAATTATTACGTGATTACATAATTATTATTGCCTACATGTTTGAAAATTCAGGAATTTATCAAAATGCAACCGCGCTTAGAGTTGTTCATCGGTCGAGCATACAATATTGCGTGAGAGCATGCATGTCGGTTTAATTTGTTGGTTAGCCAAACTAACTCAAATAACAGAAATAAATTATTATTTGTATTATAAAAAATTATTTAGTATTATAATATTTTTATTTAATACATTATATTATTTTTTGCTTAAAAAATAATATATATGTAAAAATATAAAAGAAAAGTTATTATTTGTATATGGATCGGTCGATTATTTGATTTTCAATCATAATGAAATTATCAAACTTATAGAAGTAAAAAAATCAATAATCGGGTTGACATATAGAGAATCAGACCAAAAATTCTATTAGAGGTTGGATGATAAACGAATTATACTATGCAATCTATGAGTTATTAAGGTGCAAGTCAGCCAACAACATGGTGCACGGTAATGGTCTGTGTTGTGCAGATTGAATCAACCGAACTTTTGTCACAATTCAAATTGAAAATGAATGGTTTATTGGTTCAGTTAACCGAATTATCCTAAATAATCAAAATAATTTGTTATTTAAATTTAAATTATATTTAATATGTCAATGATTTTATTTTTTATTTTTATATTATTTGTGGTTGAGAAAAACTGAATTCGGTCGGTTTCAATGTATAGTGTGCAATTTGATAATCGTGATAAAGTGCAGCGTGTTATTTTGTAAAATGCAACTTGATGTTTTATAAAGTTCAACGTGATGATGTATAAAGTGAACTACTGTAATTTTGGTATGTTAGCATACTCATGTTTTTTTTGTGGATAGATTATGTGTCACACCCCGCCTTACTACTAGCTTTGAAAATCAGAGTAAAATTTTTGTTTTTATTTTCGAAAGAACGTGCGAGCTGGGTTTTCGAAAATACTGACTTATTGCGGGATGTGGCAGATAAAAACTTAAACTGAAACTTGGGCTTGCCCACAGACATAATAAAACATGCAACCAAACTGTCCGCTCACGGATTATGGAATTATACATGCATAGTTTGTACTGTCTCGCACTGTCTAGAAAACTCGCTGGCGGAAGCATCCGAAATACAACATGCGTACATAAACTGAATAAATACACATGATCATAAATCTAGGACATAAAAATGCTGGTAAAATATGTCCGACTCTCATGACCACGCTGCGCCACATCTGTGCTCATCCGGCACGCTCGACTCCGCCTCCTGAAAAACACAATGGGGGCGTGAGCAAACCACTATGCTCCGCAAAGACCAGTACTGAACAAAACATCATCTATAATAACGTATCATGAAACATAAATATATAAGAGCTGAAACTGTAAACTGATCTCTGATGTCTGTTCTGATCTGTGGTCAAAAGACCCTCGGCCGTAGCCGCTCGTGTGCACACGCCGATGGGGTAGAAAGGGCCTCGCCCCTCCCAACGGTCATCAGGTGGGTATAAAGGCCTCGGCCACCCAACCCGGAACTAAACTGTCTCAAACATACCTCTGCCATGGTACAGATATTATCTATGATGTGACATCCAGTACATGACCCCCACCTGAAAAACTTGAAATCTGGTATGCAAGTGCGGAAGCTGGAGTAGCGGTCGGAGGCTCGACTCTCCTTAGGCTACATAAATATTTAAGCAAAATAATGCTAAGTATAATGCTCAGAATATTTAATTATATGCTAAAATGCTCGGACTTATCTACGCGATTAAACTGGACTGGACTGGCTCGGAAAAATACTGAAATTTCCGGAACTGGACTCGGATCAGAAATCACGAGTAAAAACTGACTCGAACCGCCGGTCGAACCGGCCGGTTCGCTGGCTGGCCGGACCGCCGGCTCGACTGGGCCGGGCGGTCGGGCTGGGTTCGGCTAGACCGGGCTCGGTCCCGTGCCGGGCCAGCTGGTGCCCGGGCACGGCGCTGGGCACGGCTGGTGCGACCGGGCTCGGTCCCTGGGGCCGCTGGACTTGGCTAGGCGCGGACTGGCGCTGGTGGGCACGGCCCGGGCACGACTGGTGCCCCTCGGGTGCGCGCTGGGCACGGCCGAGGCTTGGCTGAAGCCCTGTCGTGCGGCTGGGCACGGACTGAGGGTTGCTGGGGCGCGCTGGCGTGCACTGGGCACGGTACGGCGCGGACTGGCACTGGTCAGGGGCTACGCGGGCGCTGCCGGGCGCCCTGGAGGGTTCTGGGCACGCGGGCGTGCTGCTGGGCACGTCCCGGGCCGGCTGGGCTAGGGCAGACGCGGGACAGACACGGGCAGAGGCCACACGGGCGCTACTGGCCGTCCCCGAGGTCACTGGGCTCTCGGGCGTGCTGCTGGACACGCCCCGAGGCCGACTGGGCTCAGCTGACCCTGCTCGGGTCAGCCCTGGACTTGGCACGAGGCTCTGGCACGAGACCTCATGCGCTGGGCTTGGCACGGACGCTGCCGGGCGTCCCTGGGCACGCGGGTGTGCTGCTGGGCACATCCCGGGCCAACTGCGTGCTCGGGCTTGGCACTGGCACGACCCGAGGTCGGCTACGCATGACACGCGAGGCCATGCGTGCACTGAGGCTGGGACAGCGCGGCCAGGCGCTGTCGGGGTTGCTTGGGCGCGACGGGCGCCACGACCCCGGGTACGACGCGGACAGGCACTGCGGGCGCGCTGTCGCGGACACTGGTGCCTCGCGCACGCTGGCGCGGGCACGGACTGGCACTGGGCCGGGCACTGGCGCGCTATGTGCGCGGGCAGTGACCAAGGCCGGCCCTTGCCGGACCTCCGGCGACTATTTCCGGCAACATGCATATCATATGATCTCAACATGATAAAATAAGCACAATTAACATATAAATCACTAGTGGACCCCGGGTCCACTTGCATGTTCACTCGGTAGGGCTTATATGGCCCGTACGAGCACTTGACGTCCAAACCAACATACATAACTTGTAAAACTACTCAGGGCCGAATGTTATACATGAAAATTCATGACTATAGAGGCTAAAACATGTGGCACATCTTGCATGCAATGAACTAGGGTTCGGGTGCCCATTTTAACATATTTTCGAGCATGATTTGACCAAGGCAATGAACTCATTTTATTCTCAAATTTTTACAGCGTCAATAGTATGATATTTGAGGGTGTTTAAAGAAAAATCTCGACTTAGGCATGCTTGCTACTAAATTTTCATTTTTAAGGTCATTTATTTTAAAAATTCATAACTCATAAACAAATGCATGCATGGCTCGGTTTTTCTTCATGAAAAATCTTAAAACATCACAAAATAATTAATGAAGTCATAAGGCCCGGACTTACCTTGGCTAAAAATGAAAAACGAGCACTAGGGCTCTCTAGGGCTTTGCTCACGGCTATTGAGCTCAATGCCGACTTGGAGCTGACTTTGGCCGAGCTTGGTGCTTCCACAAGACTTAGAAAAATCTAAGTAACACTTAGATATGGCTAAGCCTCGAGAGAAGTTGGCTGCAAGTGGCTGAGGTGCGGTGTTCCCCCTTCCCGGGCTCGCGCGCGCTCGCGGTGGTGCGGTTGGCCTTCTCCTTGGCCTATCTCACTTTCCTCTCCAATTATGCCGAGGTATACAAGTCTTAGAATGTTACGGGATGCAAGAACTATCACCAACTGAGATGGGAGGGCTTAAATAGGCTGATGGGGCGGCATTCACTAGGTGGGAGTGGGGGACATGGTCTTTTAAAGGTGCATGGGTGGAGGTGGCCTTGGGACATGAGTGCTGCATGCCTTGCACGGTTTTTGGGACACTTTAAGAGTATTATAATGGGTCACAAGGGGTCTGGACAGAATGGAGCATGCATGGGGGACAAACTCTTACAAGGGTGAATAAAATATTCAAAGACCCATGCTCCACTTTGGTCTAAACTTGTGTTGACTTAGGCTAAACTTGATTAGGGCCAATTTAGCTTAACATAACCCTTAATAAGTCCCTAACATTCGCCACTAATGGTACATGAAAGAAGTGGGCCGGACCTCCTCCATTTGGGCTCAAAATGGTGGGCTGGCAGTGCTGCCGCTGGGCTGCTGGGGCGCGGCACTGGGCCTGGGCGCGAGGTCTGCTGGGCTGGCTGGGCTGCGCGGGGACGTGCTGGGCTGGCGCGGGTAGCGGGCTGCGCGCGGGAAAAAGGGCTGCTCGCGTGTGGTGGTCTTGGGCCGAGTCCTAAGGCACTCCAAGGGTCCAAGAACACTTAGAATTATTTCCAAACTTTTGCCAAGGCTTTGGCACGACTTGGACAATGCTTGGAGGCCTTGGGCGCGGCTCGAGGCGCGATGGCGCGGCACGGGCGCGGGGGCTCGGGTAGGCTATTAGGGCTCGGTTTAAATGCTTCCCAAGGACCTTCCAACACTTAGAAAAATATTCTAAGTATTAAAATACCATTCTCGGCTATGACTTAGGAAAATATACTCGGACCAAAAACTAGGATTCGGATCCGGTAAATTCTCGAAATGGCTAAATCTCACTTATCAGTCCAAATAAGTGGATTTATCTTGACTTATACTTGACTTAGAAAAATTCCAAAGAGTGATCAATCAAACTTAGAATTAATTTAGCATTTGGCATATAAAATATAACTCAAAATTTCTGAAAATTACGGATTTCACTTATAGTCGAGCAGTGAAACCGT